GTCGGTGCAGCTGTGGTCGTTGTGGTCGGTGCAGCTGTGGTCGTTGTGGTCGGTGCAGCTGTGGTCGTAGTGGTCGGTGCAGCTGTGGTCGTAGTGGTGGGGGCAGCTGTAGTGGTCGTAGTGGCTGGTGGAGCTGTAGTTGTGCTTCGTCGATCATTGCACAAACTTGTTGTACAGCATTCTGGACCACTGGTGACTGAACCAAAACTTTCCATGAACGGTAAACTACCTAGAGTAGGAGCAGCTTGGCATGTGCTCTGAGTTGCACAGCCCAGTACAGGAAATGAGTTTCCTTCATTTGTTACTGTTGACATAAAAAGAAGAATATAATTAGGCTGTTTTATTCCTAAAAATATAAAAGATTAAACAAAAATCAATATGAGTAAAAATACTCAATAGCTAGGTAGAGATTTTTTTTTTTTTTTTGCATATTAAAATCAGTTTCTAAGGCTTTGTATTGATACAATTTAGTCAAAATTATTCTCATTTGTGCAGACTATTAATCATTCAGACTTACAAGTTGCTGTGAAGCAGTTATTCTGTGCTCCGGAACATGTTATTGGAGTTGTACACTGGGAGGTTGTTGGGTCACAACTAATGCACTGCAGGGAGTTTGGTGAAGGAGTATTGGGAGCTTACATGAAAACGGCACATAAAGGAGAAAGTAATTAGACACAGAGAAAAAAGATACTTTTGTCAGGTTTTTGTAAACTCTGGATGAAACCTACAAGGCAGTGTTCCTGAGTTGCAGTCATCAGTGTCGCAGCACAGTGCATCTGCAGTTGCACTTTGATTAGCCAACTCAACTGAAAAAGTTCCATTGTCTGTGACTGGACACAAAGAAGATGATGCACAGGCTTTGTAGATTCGTGTTGCTGTAGTCCCAGATTGAGATGCTGTACCGTCAAACAGACGATTGTAGGTATTAATAGAAGAAAAAAAACTACCTCCTTGCATATAGGGTATTTCATCATAAAGCTAAATAAGACATAAGCATAACAATACCTAGGATGGTAGCACTTATACACATTGTCTCTGAAGCACATGTTATTGATGCTGTGTTTGAACATGTCTGATCTGTGCAGGTTAAACACCGCAGGGCTGCAGCTGAAGCCAGGAGGAAAAAAAGAGAAAAGGGTTAATTTCACAGGTTTACATTTACTTATATTCATTTAAGTTGGTGCATTTATGTGCTTCACAGTAAAAATTTGATACAATAAAACAATGTAGAATACAATGTACATCAACATTAAAAAAAAATGGAAACATACAAAGCCATAAAAACATGTCTAATTAAAAGCCTGCTTGAGTAGCATAGCTTCAACAAATCATACAGCGTAAAGGAGGAGGCAAAACATTCCACAGCCTCAGAGCCACTGCCTGAAATAAACCATCCCCTCTGGTTTTAAAATGAGTGTGTGAAACCATTAACAATGTTTAGTCTATATTCCTAACCCTGATGTTAACCTGAAGTGAATTCATTTCATACTAGATTGTTGGACCCACAAGGCCTGTTGGTCCTCATCATGTTAGTTACTATACCAAACCCAGTCCTAAATAGGTAGCATAAATAGGTACACTCTCTAAAATAAAAATAAACATCTTCCATTGATTATTCTAAAGAGAAAAAATAACACAAAAACCTGATATATGAAAAATGGCCTTAAAACAACGGAGCTTTGCATATTTGCTTTGCATACTTGCTTTGCATACTTGGACAAAATTATAGGATAAAGATCATAGTCATATGAACGGAATCAGTAATATTTTAATAACTAGTTTAAAGTAGAAACATATAGACATCTGTGTTAGAGTTCAACTATCACCCTTAATATCCCAAAAAATCTTAACAAAAAGATGTTGGTAAGAGATAATGAAACAAAGAAAACATTGCTCAAACAAGCTCTAATTTTACCTTTGTCATAGAGCACCAAGATGAAAGTCAGAGAGAAGATCAGCTTCATTTTGATATTCAGATGGATCCTGCCAGCTAGATCTCTTGGAATGTGATGAAAAACACTGAGCTCTGTTACACTTTATATACTGGACAGATAACCTTACTGACTGGGTGTGTTTCCATTGCCATAGTGTCACGCCTAGAACTGTACAGTACTTCTCACTTCGTCAAAGCATCCCAAAAACAAGTTCACAAACCTTAACACACCTTTTACTGGTCATTCACATGTCATTAAAAATGCTCATTTCTAACAATAAAACATATTATTAGGAAAATTAAGGGACCAAACAAGCTTAACAAAAATATGCCTGAAACATATTTTGTTTCGTTTTTGTATTTCCTTTTCAGTGTTCTACATGTCACATTACCCTTGGTCTTACGCAGGCCTAAAAACAGAAACCAGAAAGATGCATCCTATAAACAAATCCCTTTTTTAAAAAGTGTTCTCTTGCTATTAAAATTAGGTTGATAGAGACCTTAATATGTATAAAAATTGTGGAGACCAAGTTTCAAGATCTAGCATTAAAGTTTTTTTTTATTCAGTAAAGCCCAGAATGATAACTCGCCTTGGTTGATTCAAATTCAACAATTTTTTTATAGAGATAAAAGGTTTCTCAAAGGAAACAAGACAGAGATCTATCAATAGACAATGCAAGGGTGAAAGGTGAAATGATTTGGAAAAAAAAATATCAAAATACTCATACCCTTTTCAATTATAGATGGAAAAATTATCATCAGCATTACATAAACCGATTCTTGCATCTTTCCAGTGATTTGTTTTTTATTATGAGCTAACTATGAGAATTGGAAGGCCTTCATGTGAATGTTAAAAACTTCAGCTCCATCCAGATATTTCACATAAGATTCATGAAAATACTCTATTCTAGTTCCAGTCAAACAAACGAAATCTTTGTGAAATTTGATCACTATGTTATACCTAAATTCCCAAGGTATATAAAGGATGTTGAACTTGGTACTATATGAACATGTTTTCATATTATACTCAGAGATTTAAAAACAGTTACTTGGTGTCTCATGTGTGTAATTCAAAAAAGTTTGACTGCGAGACAATAAAATGAAATGAAATATTTCAAAGCATGCTTTTGTTCAATAAATTTAAAATATGTCGTTGGTTATCTTTTGTTTAAGTTTTGGAATTAAATCTTCTTGTTCCTGTCAAGATTAACTTATTTGTTTAAAGTGTTCATGACATGTGATGTTCAAGTTCCAAAAGATACATTGCTATGTAATAAAAAAAAAAACAGGCTTGGTGTAGCGTAGTTGATTCTGCGTTGTGTCTTATGGGAAATAACAGCCAGACGACAGCTGATCTGAAGGCACTTTTAATGCTCCTTCATTCACATAGAACATAGTAATCAACAGGCTTTTTCTTGCCACAGTGTTCCACAGCGCCTTCTCCCATGAAATCCAACAGAAAGAGCAACTTGTGTAAAATAACAAATCTACTTTACAAACTAGAAATAATTGGAGCTGTTGTTAATAACTAAGCCCAAAAAGGGTCATAATACTTTTAAACAGTACATGAATAAGAAGGAAAGTAAATAAACACAATCATCCCACACCAAGAATAATTAAATTATTTGGCAATCTAGTGTAATAACATCACACTGCTACATTCACTCCCACTGTTTTACACTAGATTGCAGGCATGTTACCCAAATGAGAAAGAAAAACAAAATGAACCAACCAAAATAAACCAACAACAAAACATACAAAAAAACACGTACAAAACACGAACATAGAAAAAAATACCCTCTACACAAGACCAAAATGATGAACCAGCAAAGAGCTATTCAATTAAGAATTAGGGAAGATGAGGGGTAGTTAAGGCCCCACCTCACCATAGCAGACATGCCACTTACACATCTATCATAGAGTACACTCAAAATCACCCAAATATGTCCAGCGCAATGGACAACATAACTGAAATTGTCACCACAACTCAGTGGAAAAATAAAAAATCCCAATAAAAGGAGAAAAATAAATAAATCACACATATAACAAACTAGGTGGCCCTTGAGATCCATGTAAAAATCTTAACCCATTGTGTGGACATTGTTTGAATCAACCTGTTACCTGGTTTGACAAGTCGACCCAGTCTTGTCCGTATCCCTTTCCCCTGAACAACTGAAGAAATCCCTGAAGGTACAACTGTAACGCCTGAGTCACATCTAGCTTCACTTGGGCGTAAGCCTGCGCTTACAGAGTCTAACAGTCGATCACTAATGTTATCCTCAGAGTGTGAGCTCTCTGACCCATGATCCATCTGATCCTAAATGCTCCTATGGTCCCCACGTGCAGACATGATCCCTCCACCCCGAACATTACCATGCCACCAATCGCTTCAGTTTAACTAGCTACTGTATCACCTGTGATCATTACCACACTAGACTCTGGAAGGGAGGAAACCCAGTGAGCTGTTCAAGCATCACTGTCCCACTCACCTGGAGCAGCATAGTCTGACAACCTAACTTCTGAAACATTGTTTGAAAGAGAAGCCTGCGACAAAGAGTCATCCCATGATGGCAAAGGCAAAAAGTTTACAGGCATGATCAGATTCCTATAAACTGTCATAACTCGCCCTGTAACAGGATGATGAATAACATAGGTGTTTAGTCCCCTATTCTTATGGACAATGATGTAAATCGTATCCTTCCAACGATCAGCCATTTTCCTTTTTCCCCGTTTCCCTTCCTAAGCCATCAAAACTCTGTCTGCCTTCTCCAAAGTATGTCCCTTAATCTTTCGATTATACACTTCAGCTTGTCTCAATTGCTGCTTCTCAGCATGCCGTTGAACCAAAGTCATTGCTTACCTGAGATCCATGCCCAATGACTTAACATATTTGTCCATGTCAGCAGTCTATACCATCTAAGACAACACTTCCAAACATCCCATCAACAAGGAATCCTAGAAGTTTGCCCGAAAATGAAAAAGAAAGGCGGAAAACCTGAAGTTTCGTTTGCTGTGCAATTATAGGCAAAAGTCAGTGTGTTTAGCATCTGAGGCCACTTTTCCTTTGCCCGAGGAGGCAAAGCACGGATCATGCTACCCAGAGTCCGGTTTAGACGTTTAGCCTGGCCATTTCCCGAGGGATGATACGGCGTTGTATGGCTCTTATGAACACCTGCCATCAGGAGTAGCTCGGCTATGAGGGAACTCTCAAAAATAGCCCTTCTGTCAGAATGAATACGAGCTGGGAACCTGTATATGGGAAAAAAATTATTCCATAACACACGAACCACAGACTTGGCAGACTGATTTGGACATGGGTAAGCACATGCAAGCCTGGTAAAATAGTCTGTCACCACTAGAACATCGATGGACTTGTTATTGACATCCTCCACTGGCCAGAAGTCAATATAAACTAATTCTAGTGGTGCTGATGTAACAAAAGAAACAAGTGGAGCCCTGGCCTCAGGTTCGGGTGCTTTGCTCAAAACACATCTCTTACAATAACTAACATATTCTTTGACATCGTTTTCCATCGAATCCCAGTAAAAGCATTATCTGGCAAGCCACAGTGTGTGCTGCTGACCTTGATGGCCTGCATTATCATGCACCCCTTTCAACACCTGACCTCTCAAAGCAACTGGAACCACATATTGAAACACTTTCTTCTTACTCACCACATGTTTAGAAACACGATACAACACACCCAACCGGGTTGTGAGTTTACCCCATTGTCGTAATGTACGGTTTGTCTCCGGTGATTCATGAATGCGCTCATGTCGGGATGGTCGACTTCCCCTGTTCACATAAAAAGAAACCAGGCTGACCACAGGATCCTGACACTGCTTCTCATACCACTCCTCATGAATGAGGACAGGCAGTGGGCTCTGCTTAGCTGGCAACAGTTTCTCGGATTGTTGGGTGTAGCAGGTTTCCCTCATTTTCGTACCATCATTCCAACAACAGTGAGACTTGAATACGGCTGACACCTCATCATGAGAAACTCTCCCACCGTTGTCCTTAATATCCAAACTGCCTGTGACAGAGCCCTAAATTGCGGAAGTGAGTTTGCGCTTCTCCACAGACTCTTCCAGAGAAAGGCGCAACATTTTCTGAACATCTTCCACCCGCAAACCCCTTACCTCCTCAAATAAAGTATCATATGGAATCCTCGTCAACC